TGTGTGTGTGTGTGTGTCGGGCGCCTTTCTGTGTTGCACATGGGCCGCGGCAACAGCTGCGATATCTAGGGGTGTTTTTCTTTGTTTTTATTTGTTATGTGCCCGAGTGTGTGTGTGTGTGTGTGTGTGTGTGTGTGTGTGTGTGTGTGTGTGTGTGTGTGTGTGTGTGTGTGTGTGAGAGATGGTTCATCAGAGACACAGGATGTGTGCAGATACGTGTGTGTGTGTGTGTGTGTGTGTGTCCAGTATAAGCTTGATGAATCTCCTCATGGTTCTGCTCTCTGTGATCATCAATCGTCTGATGGATCGGTGTGATCAGGACATCAGGAGCATCTCTGGAGGACACCTCTCTCAATGTTCTCTGCATGTTCTCTGGACATTTTCGGGATGTTCTCTGAACGTTGTTGAAATGTTCTCTGGATGTTTTCTGAGCGTTCTCTGGATGTTCTGATGTAAACACTCCTGTGAAGGCTGCCGGCAGTGGACGCTTCATCAGTACAGTGGTTCTCTGCTCGTCTGGAGCTCCTCTTTCTCCTGCGTTGTGTTTTTAATCCTCATATCCTCTTTTATTTGTGCTCTCCTGAAGGTGTGGGAGCGGCGCGAGCGGTCAGACCTGCTTTATCTGCTGTTCAATGTGCCGCTTGTTTTTCTACACCGCTCTGAACTGCAATAAACCCGTGATGTACTGAAGTCAGACGTCTACACAACACTGGCTGTAAAGAGAGATGAATATTCATGATGATGATGATGATAATAATAGTTGTCCAACACTCTGTTCCGCTGGTCTGCTGCTGTCTTCATTTCCTGCTGCTGGTGTTTAGTACAGTATAAACTACACTATAGAGTCTCTGTTTAATCTCATTAAAGGCACAGTTCAGCTGAAAATCAATTAATATTCATAATATGACATTAATATTCAAACCTGTCAGAGTTTTCTCCAGCATTCCTCAGGATATCTTCCTTCGTGTTGAGCTGAAGGAGACTCTCTCAGGAGTGAACATTAGTGAGTGAATGCTGACAGGATGGAGATCTTTATAAATGCTGAAGCGCTCGAGTGTGAGGAGATGATGAGGGAATGCTCATATTTGGGTGAACTGAGTCTACATCATGAATTTAAACAGACTCTTCATTATTTTAGATGTTTAATTATCTGTACTGTACTTCTACTAACGTCTTTCTATTATGAAATGGCCATGTTCAAGGTCTGTTTTCTTTATAAATCAGTGATCTCCTCTGCCTGATGGGTATATGATGTGAAGTGGGTCTCAGACCACACCAGAGGCACTGCGTTACATTACATTTTCCCCACCATGTGCTGAAAACATGACCATTTTCTTGTACCCCAGTGTTTCCAATGGAGTTTCTGCACTCGCCTGCTCATCCTAATCTACGCCAGAGGTGTCCAAACCCGATCCTGGAGGGCCGGTGTGCTGCATATTTCAGTTCCAACCCCAATTAAACCCACCGGAGCAGGCTAATCGAGCTCTTTCAGGGTGTACTAGAATCTTCCAGGCGGATGTGTTGAAGGAAGATGAAGCTGAACTGTGCAGGACACCGGCCCTCCAGGACCCTGTTTAACTATTTAACTGAATGTATTTTAATGACATTACCACATCAGTGCTGTAAAAGAAACCTTCTGAAACGGACAATAGTCACATTAAGCTTTCACCAGAAGATGATTATTGGCAGAAGAGCACCGGCTCTGCATATAGCCCATTACTGAAGCGTCCGCAGGCCTGTTTAATGGAGGATTGCTTCATTTGTTGTTGCAAAAGCAGTTTTGGTTTAATGTGTTGAAGGGATTTATTTTCAGATGCTGTTCAACAGAATGATCTTTACTGCACTCGAGCAGAAGTGATCAGATGAAGAGTTTATTTGCTTTGTGTTTTGCACATCATAAACCTGGAGCTTTCAGTAATGTTGAGCAGCATTGAGTGTTGAAGAGGACACTTGCAGAAAACTCTTCCATCTGTTTATGCAGAGGAACTCTACACTTACTGTTGAAGTCTGAATTACCCCCCCCCACCCCCCCCCACCCCCCCCACCCAATTTCTGTGTAACGGAGAGCAGATTTCTCCAGCACATCTCTGATCATAACAGTGTTCATAACTCATCTCTAATAACTGATTTATTTCCTCTTCATCATGATGACAGTCAATAATATTAGACTAGATATTCTTCAAGACACTTCTATACAGCTTAAAGTGACATGTAAAGGCTTCACTAGGGTAATTAGGGGAACTAGGCAGGTTAGGGGAATTAGGCAAGTTATTGTATAATGATGGTTTGTTCTGGAGACTATCAGAAACAAATATAGCTTAAAGAGCGAATAATATTGAGCTTAAAATACTGTTTAAACAATTAAAAACTGCTTTTATTCTAGCCCAAATAAAACTAATCAGACTTTCTCCAGAAGAACAAACATTATCAGACACACTGTGAACATTTCCTCAATCTGTTCAACATCATCTGGGAAATATTTAACAGAGATATATACTATACACTGGGTATTAATTATAGATAATGGTGTATAATGTGTGGTATTAGCAAAGACGATCTTATCTTCAGTTCAGAGCTTCAGTGAAATAGAGGCTGGATTAAAGTGTCTGTTCAATGCATAAATGTCTCTGCAGTATACATGCACAGACAGACAGACAGACAGACAGACAGACTGCTGTAGTGTTAAGTTTACACAGCCCTTTCGAACAGGGATCATTTAAAATGCAGGTCTTTATTCAGTCCTGTCCTGAAGAAGAGATCTTACATCAGTGCTTCACCAACACTGCAGAATGCTCCTCTTACTCAGAGTTTCTGTCTCGTTTCCAGTCCGAATATTGACAAACTCTCAGCATTTCCCAGACCAGCAGATAATATAGTGTTGTGTTCAGAAATAATGAGTCAACATGACGCGAGTTTCTCCTTCAGGAAACAACACATGTGTTTAGCCCATGACAGTATGTCTAGACCACTGGTGTCAAACTCAGTTCCTGGAGGGCCGCAGCTCTGCACAGTTTAGTTCCAACCCTAATTAAACACACCTGATCAAACTAATTGAGTCCTTCAGGCTTGTTTGAAACCTACAGGTAAGTGTGTTGGAGCAGGGTTGGAACTAAACTGTGCAGGGCTTCGGCCCTCCAGGAATTGAGTTTGACACCCCTGGGTTAGAAGATGCCTGTTGATTGAGCTGGTCATGCTGATGATCTTCAGTGTTTTCTGCTGTTTGCTGATGAGTGAACAGTTCAACTGAGGCAGTTTTATCCTCCATCTTCAGGGTTCCAGCATCTCCTGCAGACCTGAACTCTGTCCAGCAGTGACTGTGCTCTGATAACATCTGGACTTTAGCAGATTTCCTGATTTTGGGATTCGTGCTTTTCTTTTCCTGCATTTATTTCTGCTGTTGAACTGCATTATGGGATCTTGATCTTTCTCCTGCAGCTTTTAATCTTGAACAGTGTGTGAACTGTGTGTTTTCTGCATGCGTGCAGGGCTGTATTGTGCGGGTTGGTGGTGTATGTTACGCTACAGAAACCTCATAAGGTCACACTTTACTATGAGGGTCAGTTTGTTGAATTTAAGTTATTTTGCATCTCATTCTCATCAGATTATCAGTAGACTGTTAGGTTGGGGTTGGGGTTAGTAGTGTGTTATTTTACACTTATTTTTCTAGATATTATCTCTTATATTATTTTAAATGACTTAAATGTCAATAAAAGTCACTTTGTTAAACTGTAGAGTTGAATTCATCATCAGAAGTGGACAGATCAGCATCCCATAATGCAAATAAACACGAGCACTGTTCATTAGCAGATATATTTACAGAGCAGCTTCTGGGGATGATTGAGGGACTCGCTGTCATTAAAGAAGGTGTAAAGTCTTAATCTGATGCTCCTGAAGGAAACGCCAGGCTTTAAGAGCGGTGCTGGAAACCTTCACACAGGAGGAAGATGGCAGCATCTGTTCTCATGTTGTGGAAATATTGTTTTCAGTTTAGTTCAGCAATAACAGACAGTACATGCATGTTTCCCTAAAGACAGATTATGTGCACTTTATTTATTGACTGATTCTGGGTTTTCACCTTTATTGGATAATACAGTAGAGAAATTGACAGGAAAGCACGGGGAGCAGAGAGAGGGGAAGGGTCGGCGTAGGACCTCGGGGCGGGAATCAAACTCGGGCCGCCGTAAGCACTAAAGTGCATGTGTCAATGCACTTTCCACTACGCCATTGGCACAGACAAGTGCAATTACTGTTGATGATTAGTTTCTGAAAGTGTTCTCCCCCCCGGCTCTTAATATATGTGTATATTGCATGATGATGTGAGCTTTGTGTTTCATGACGTCTCTCTTCATCTGGAGCTGGTGGAAGCAGATCTGAAGTGGATCCTGATCCTGATTCTACCTGAGCAGCAGGTGAGCGTTCACATTTATTAATGAGTGATGTTGATCAGCAGAGTCTGCATTTCCTGCACTTAACCCCTTGTGTGCTGTTGGGTCGATTTCTTCCACTCTGGGCTGATTTTGAGGCTTGATTTGGCCACAGCTCTCTCTTTCAGCAAATATTCTGATTTCAGAAACTCATCAACACACTCTGTTCAGACGGACTGTCTTTGCCCCATTGACTTCCATTATAATCACATTTATTGACAGTAAAGCCATGACAGCAGATCATCCTGCGCTCCTGAGTGCTGCTGGGTTTCCCTGTTTCAAGCAAGTGTTGAACAGATCATGTAGAGCAGCAGATTGAGGAACTTTACTGACTTTACTGGCGATTGTTCATCTTGATATCTTTCATTAAACTACAACAAAAAGGGTAAAAGTATATCTGTATGTGTATATATATATTCACATTTACCTGTTGAATTCAACCAGCTGGCCATGAGTGTTTGGCTAATGTAATGTAAAAATAACTCAAGAGGTCTGCTACTACTAGTTTAATATTTGTTGTAATCTAACAATTCTAAATTGCTGATTAGATTAAACTTTTAAGTTGCCAGAATAATTTTATTAAGTTTTCACAACAGGAAAATATTGAATTACATAACTAAAAACATGTATTTAAAGGGAAATGTGTCTGTTAATTAGTTTGAAACAATATTTAACTTGTAGTAACGCAGAGAGCTTTTCTAGAATACACAAGAATTTGAGGAGGAGGTTGAGAGGGAAGTGATGACCATGTCTATCATTGGTGATCTGTCTAATTTGGAATTTAACCACAAGATGGAAACCATCATGGTTGAGGGCATCAGAATGCTATGGGATGGATATCTCCAGTGCTCTGCTGATGGGCATTATATATAGTCTGAATCTCAGCTTCCTCAAGGAACTTAAATATACTTGTGAAGTTTCTCAAACTTGATGGACTGAAGCCCAGTGCAACAGTAATGCGTCTCCAGAGCAGTACTTGCTGAAGTCTCCACGTATTTCAGAGTAGATTTGGCTCAGTTTGTTGCACTTGATGTTGTTTTGTATCTTTAAGTCCATGCACTGATGTTTTTGGTGTTTGTCATACTGTTTATTTGGGTCAGTTCACACTTTTGTTTTGTAAAATACTGAAAACTGGGGTTTAAAATGAATAAGAAATTACTGGAAAACAAAAATGTTGTTGTTAAATGTATTTCTTACAAGTGACTAAAACAATCAATTTAAAATCGTACAAAAATATCTAACAATTTCAGCTGCTTCATTTATTTGAGCTTCTAAACTTGGAAACCTGCATGTATAATTATAGTTCAGTACATAACACTGGAGTTATTTTACATTTTAATTAAAAAACATTAGTTGAAACAACTTCATTTTTTTGAGTACCCAACTTAAAAAATATAGTTTCTGCTATGTAAAAATGCCTCTGATTGAGGAGGAACAGGTCGTTCAGCTAACATAATGAAGGTTGTTGTCTGAACTTAATTTTGTCAGATTGTAACTTGAAAATATTGATGCAAACTGTTGCGTATTTTTTTAATTTTTTGTTGGGTCTAAAGAGTATTTTTTAGAGTGTTCATAAAGTATTATATACAAATCTGAACACACACACACACACAAACACGCACACACACGTGAGCAACATCTGTTAAATGAGACGAGTTATGCCGAATATGATCTGTTCATCCACCAGCAGAGTGTTCAAGACATGATGAAGTGTTTGATCAGAAAAATACAGGCCATAATAATCCAGCCACCTGCGAATATTCACAAATGAGTGACAGTAGAGCACTTACAGACGTCTGTTTCTAAGGTTTCAACATCTAAATCAGCCACAGAGTTGATCTGCATGTGTGTTATTGCAGCGCTGGACTCAAGCCTTTCACTCGACTAGAACTTCCTCAGTGTTCAGCTGCTGCGACACCGTCTGATGAAGAGGAACTGAATCATGACTGAACTGTGCACACTGAGAGTAACCTGAACTGCAGGTGTAGTGCAGTACTCTACATGTCCAGCAGGTGCGGTATCGACTGAGAGTCATTCACAAATCAACATGTCGGGCTGAGTCTCATTGTATTTTCACATCAGTTGTGTGTCGGAGGGAGAGAGGGAGATCCAGCATCTCCATCATGAGCCGTTTCAGACAGTGAAGCGTCTGTGGGCTGACCTCTGACCTCTGCCGTGTCCTCCTCCTGCTCCTCCACAGGCATCAGTGCGCTCAGGTCCAGGAAGGGTTTGTGTGGAGCGCTCGCGGCTCTCGCCGGACTCTGGGTCAGGACTGGTTTATCGCTGGGTTTCCGCTTTCCTTCATCTGATTTGAGCGCAGCAGCTCTGAGCGCCGGCAGCTTCTCCTCCCACGCCGGACAGTCCTCACTGATCTCCACCGGGAGGAACTCATCCGAGAAGTCCTCAGTCTGGTCTGCCAGTGTGTGTGTGTCCTCTGAGAGTGTGTGAGGGTGGCTGGTGTGTGTATCGGTGTCTTTAAAGCTGACCCGAGGTGTCCTGATGGTGAGCGGCTCCTCTTCCGGCTCCGGCTCCGCAGGTTGGCATGGTGATGAGGATGCGCTGTTTCTGAAGAAGTCTGTGATCTCCTCTGTCTCCTCCTCATGCTTTTCTCCTCCTGCTTCTTGCTCTCGGTGGTCCTCCAGATATCCGGCTAGTCTGACGGGCCCCTGCGGCTCCACATGAGCCGGCTCCGGCTTCAGGATTCTCTCGGGCCCCCGTGGAGCCTCCACCTTCAGCACAAACTTCTCCAGGTATCCTCTGTCCTCAGAGTCCGACTGCTGGCTGTGGAAGGACTTCTCCGAGGCGGCGTCTTCATCCTCGCTGCGCTTGGCTCTGGAGCCGACGGCGTCCGCGTACAGGTCCGAGTACAGGAACGCCAGCGCTTTGGGCTCCTCCAGCAGGATCTGGTCGATGATCTTCGGAGGCCCTTCAGGAAGGAATACGGGTGTCAGAACGGGTTCTTCAGTGGTGAACAGAGCGCTGCCGCTCTCCTTCACTGAGGGCTTGCTTGATTCTCGCCCCCTGGTGGACGCAGAGTCGTGATCCATCGGGTCTCCACCTCCGCCGTAAAACACGTCGTCCAGATGTTCTCCGGAGATGTCCAGCATGCTGACCGCAGTGCGCACTTCTGAGGGAGCTTCCTCTTCTGGAGGATCCGCCTTCTCCTCCTGCTGCTCGCCGCTCTCCTGTGTGGCGCAAGGTTATATTAGTACACCACAACTGTTCATCAGGAACACTGTCAGTCACTGATCAACTAAAGCTGGCTGAATTCAGTCATGAGTTATCCAGAATCATCCCTGCACTGGACCTGAGTAATGATAGAGCCTGTGGCTATTTAGAGGAGTTCCTGTAGATGGCGCCAAACACATCAGTCCCGCGCATGATTATAAACAAAAACACTTTACACACACAATACAGCTATTCTGAACTGACAACATCTATAAACTAGGCATATTTACCTGCATGTGTCATCATTAATAAGTAATTATTCGTAATTCTAATCTGTGTAAACACTTAACTGTAGTCGACACTCTGAGACACTCTGGGCTCTATTTTGACGGTCCATGTGCAGAGCGCAAAGCACAGGGCGCAAAGGCTTTCAGGGCGTGTCAGGATGCGTTTTTGCTAATTTAAGGACGGGAAAATCCGCTTTGCGCGATGGCACATGGTCTAAAAAGTTGAGCTTATTTTCTTAATAAGTTATAGGTGTGTTTTGAGAATAATCCAATCAGAGTCTCATCTCCCATTCCCTTTAAGAGTCAGCTGCGTCACGCCAAGAGCGCATTCGCTATTTACAGGACGTGAAGTAAGTCTAAGTGGAAAAACTGAGCATTTCACAAGCAAACAGTGAACAGTTTTGTCATTTTCTCATTTTTTCGTGACAATGAGAGATAATGGATCTACTTTCACTTTCGCTCTTGGATAGGGAAACCTTTACACACAGACATCAATTAGTCTATAAATAATTAATTGCAATTGTTAAGCGCAAATATTCGTTTCAAAACTATTTCTAAATTCAGTTCTAATTTCCAGCAAACGAATAAATGAACAATAATAATGAAGTGTGCTCAGAAACCTGAGTTATATCCAAATACACATGCTGCGCCCGATATGGTCTAAAACATTTACATTTAGTCATTTAGCAGACGCTTTTATCCAAAGCGACTTACAAATGAGAACAAATATAAAACCTGACAGGTGGACAAATCTAAGCTTGTTTTTAATAAAACAAATATAAATATGGATATAATAAATAATACTGCTAATAATAATAACATTATACAAAAGCAAATTGTTATGAATGAACTGAAAAAGCCTCCCGAGATGAAGAAGACATAAAGCAGTGGTTTTTCATATTTATGTAGGCTAGAAAATAATGTGTTTTGTAATATTTTAACCCTTTATATTTATATCCTATGTCTATTCTTATTATATCCTATATATATCCTTAATATTTAAATGTTTTCACATGTAAAGATGTTTGCCTATTGCTCTCTTGTGTGTATTAAGCAGTGTGTAAGCGAGGTGCAACTCTGCGCTGGAGTTTAGACCGGGTTTGTTTTGGTGTAATGAAAAATCTATGATAGTTTCTCAAAATAGCAACGCGCCAGCGGTCCGCCTCAGAACGCCTTCCTTTTTAGAGCAGAACGCCTATGAGCGCACATATGAGCACTAATGCATTTGCTATTTAAACAGCCTAGCGCAACGCCTCAAAACCACTCTTGCGCCAAGCTGAAACTACCAAAAGACTATTGCGCCGCACCTTGCGCCACACTGCGCCGGGTGTATGATAGCGCGCTATGAGCTAAAGCTGAAGTTGTATAAAGCTAAGTATAATATGTGGACAGAATGAAAGGAACGAAACGGTCAGTGAAGCAATGTGAAACTGAAGAGAAGCGCACAGAGAATGCCAGACACTCAGAGAATGCAGTGCTGTGTTAATAACCTGTGTGTGCGGCGGTGCTTCCTCCAGCGCTGCGGCTCCTGACGGCGCTCGGCTGTCCAGAAGTGTGAACTTCTCGAAGTAATCTTCACTGGCTGCTCTGCGGGTCAGCTGTAGCGGTGGAAACATCACAGTCATACAGCAGCAGCACTTCCACAAACATGCAGTGCGAGTAGAGTACAGGTGGAGTAGAGCAACCCTTCTGAAAGCACTCTATTACAGTGTGCAGATGGATCCTGTCGCCCACATCACTGCTCAGTGGAAGAACACAGATCACTAATATAAGCATCTATAATGAGCTGACAGAAGACGAGCTGATGTCACATGCGCAGAGAAACCTGCAGAGATATTCAGCTGCAGACACACGACCCAGGCCACAGCCAGCCCTGCATCAGTGATGCACATGACCGACTGACAGGCATGTGGATGCACTCAGATCGCCCCCTAGTGGGTGATCACTGAGCAAGTTTCATCATTTTATCCTGATCTCAGGTCAGTTTCAGGCTTTTGAGGATTGTTTAATGAGACGTTTGTAAAATGAAAAGGAATGATAATAGTTCAGAATAGCTAATAGTCTATGTTAGGCCTGATTAGCAGAGCTCATCGTGCAACAAACAATATCTAAGCCTTTTATTACGCATACACTTAATGTTTTATAGTATTAGATGAAAAGTGCAGTTACACGGTTCAGCTTCAGTTTAACATTCACAATAATTTAGAAAGACCATTCTGTTGCATGTTTTACAAGTTTTTGTTGCATTTACATGCTCATTTAGGGCGGAGCTATCTGTTCTTTAGGGTGGAGCCATTAGTTCTTTAGGTTGGGGCTATCAGTCCTTTAAGGTGGAGCTCTCAGTCGTTTTTTCAAGGAGCTAACAGTCTTTTAGGGCGGAGCTATCATTTCTTTTGGGGCATGCTATAAATCCTTTAAGGCGGAGCTATCAGTAATTTAGGGAGGAGCTATCGGTCCTTTAGGGCGGTGCTCTCAGTCGTTTTTCAGGGAGCTAACAGTCTTTTAGGGCGGAGCTATCAGTCCTTTAAGGCGGAGCTATCAGTAATTTAGGAAGGAACTATCAGTCCTTTAAGGTGGAGCTATCAGTCCTTTAGGGTGGAGCTATCAGTCCTTTAGGGTGGAGCTATCAGTCCTTTAGGGCATAGCTATCTGTTCTTAAGGGTGGAGCAATTAGTCCTTTAGGGAGGGGCTATTAGTTCATTTTTCAGGAGCTATCAGTCTTTTAGGGCGGAGCTATCAGTCCATTTTTAGGAGCTATCAGTCCTTAAGGGCGGAGCTCTTAGTCGTTTTTCAAGGAGCTAACAGTCCTTCAGGGAGGAGCTATCAGTTTTTTTTGGGCATGCTATCAGTCCTTTAGGGAGGAGCTATCAGTCCTTTAGGGTGGAGCTATCAGTCCTTTAGGGTGGAGCTATCAGTAATTTATGATGGAGCTATCAGTCCTTTAGGGAGGAGCTATCAGTCCTTTAGGGTGGAGCTATCAGTCCTTTAGGGTGGGCCTATCAGTAATTTAGGGTGGAGCTATCAGTCCTTTAGGGAGGAGCTATCAGTCCTTTAGGGTGGAGCTATCAGTCCTTTAGGGTGGAGCTATCAGTCCTTTAGGGTGGAGCTATCAGTCCTTTAGGGTGGGGCTATCAGTAATTTAGGGTGGAGCTATCAGTCCTTTAGGGAGGAGCTATCAGTCCTTTAGGGTGGAGCTATCAGTCCTTTAGGGTGGGGCTATCAGTAATTTAGGGTGGAGCTATCAGTCCTTTAGGGTGGAGCTATCAGTAATTTAGGGTGGAGCTATCAGTCCTTTAGGGTGGAGCTATCAAGCCTCCTTTCCACTGCACATGCCAAATGACAAGTGACAGAGCGGACATCAGTCATTTCCAGTGGAGAGTAGTGCGGGAGCTGTGTGGAGTTCTGATCATCTCCGTATGCAGAAATTTTAGATGTGTTTTGAGCTGCAGAAGTATTGAAATGTTTAAACTCCTGCGACTGAAGCGTATGCGACCTGCTGCCCGGATGTGATGTATGTCTAAGCAGGTCCGCGTGTGAGAGGTAAGAAATAGTCGTTTTTTCGTTATTTTTGGACTCAGAAAATTAATGAATCAAGCATCTGTGTTCATGAAGAGCATGTTTAACGCTGTCTCCACATTCCCTCCAATACTTTAGCGGTCTGAGTTTCTAGTGTTCATTCAGTCATCCCTGCTGAACACACAGAGAGTAAAGGCTCTTGTGCACTCCTTCATTTCAGACACTGCCAGTACAGCTTCTCTCCATGGTGCAGACAACACTGAAGATTTGTGCGTATTCTGACAGTCCTGTCCAAATGTTGTGTGCAGTGGAAAGCGGCTCCAGTCACGGGGCTATCAGTCCACTTTCTTTGAGGGTCTATCGGTCCTTAAGGGTGGGGCTGTCGGTGAGTGTCTCCTGTCTACTGTGATTTCACTCATTCATCAGTATTCTTTATTTTGTCAGCAACACGCATCTTTCAGCAATCCAATCAGTTCCCGGAGATAAGAGAGTGCAGTCTTCTGTTAGATGGACACCTCTACATGTCAACATCTGTGACCGCGGCTGCCTCCTCATGCTTTATTGTCCATTACCTGTGTAAACGGACTCTTCACATCTCAGTGGAGGAATACAGGAGTGGCGTGTGAGATCATTGAGCATGCAGTCATTCAGCAGATGCTTTAGTCCAATGCGGCTTACAGTTGAGGAGGCATTCAGTGATCAGCAAGACGAGGCGACACACACAAGAGCAAGCAGAGCATGCTGGGAATGTGTGAGGCTTGAGAGCTCTGCACCTCCAGCCATAATAAATCCACCAGCGGTGAGGTCTCTGTCGTGTGTCTGTGATTGTGTCCTGAAGTGTGTGTGGATCTGCATCTGGATGTTACTGTAAATGTGTGTGTGTGTGTGTGTGATCTGTTCACCTGTATGTGCGGGAGCGGCACTGGCACTGGCACCGGCGGTTCTGGAAGCGCAGGACGCTCCTCAGGCTGTTCCTGCAGATCTCCAGACTCCTCCAGGGTCTCTGTGGGCTTCACGGCCGGCGTCTCCTGCAGGTAATACAGCTGATCCTCCAGGCCGCCGCTCTCCTCCTCATCCACCGTGGAGACCCCGGCCGGAGCGATGATGTTCAGGATCTCCGAGCCCTCAGACACTAGACTGAAGATTTGCTGGTGTGTTTCTGCTCGGTGCTCCTCGGGCTCCTCCGTCAGGTTGGGTTTGGACACCTCCACCATCGCCGGCCGATCCGCCTCCGCCAGCACCTCCAGGCTGACCTGAGGAGCAGATTTGGCTTTCTCGGACCGGTTCCTCCGGGTTCTTCTGGTCTTCAGGGCTTCATCCATGATGACGATGATGCTGCCGGCGGCTGCAGGTGAGCGGAGACTGCAGGTCAGGTCTGGAGGCCACGGCGTGCCGCAGCGGCTGGAAGAGGAGCAGGTCTCCCACTGGATCCCGCTGTCCTCGCTCTGCACCGTGACCATGGAGAAACAGCGGTCCATCATCACACACTGCAGCTTGGGCTTCACCGCACTGTCCTGCACCAGCGCTCGCAGACTGCAGAGACACACACACACACACACACCAGCAGCAGCAGCGCATTACACACACACAGAACAGCGGAGGTTTACAGTTCTGTCCTCATCTACTCTCCCTCAAGTGCTTCTACACACTGAAGAGGATATTGTGAAGAATGCTGGAGAACTGTAACCATTGACTCTCATAGTAAAACTAACACTGTTCTCCACCACCTGGCAACCCGGGGTGCTGAAATATCATTGGTTAATCTGGCAGTGGGCTGCTTGTAGAGACCAAGACAAAGACCGGCTGCAGCATCATATTAAAGACGGTTCAGCCCAAAACTACAGTTCTGTCCTCATGTCCTCTCCTGTTCCTCTCCACACATGTGCTTCTGCTGCTTGTTTAAACTACAATTCTGGAGATTCTACTGGGACGAGTATAGTTCACTCATTCACTCATTTTCTGTTCAGCTTAGTCCATTTATTAATCAGGGGTCACCACAGCAGAATGAACCACTAACTATTCCAGCATATGTTTTACACAGTGGATGCCCTTCCAGCCACTACCCAGTACTGGGAAACACCCACTCATACACTACGGCCAGTGTAGTTGATCAGTTCCCCTATAGCGCATGTGTTTGGACTGTGGGGGAAACCGGAGCACCCGGAGGAAACCAACACCAACACGGGGAGAACATGCAAACTCCACACAGAAACACCAACTGACCCAGCTGGGACTCAAATCAGCGCTTCCCACTGTGCCACCGCACCACCCCTATATTATATTATATTATTATGATATTTATATTCTTATTAGATTATTATTATTATAATTATACTATTTATATATTGTATAATTATTATTTTATTATTATATTATTATTAATATACTGCTGTGATTATTATTATATTTTATTATATTTATATTATTTTTATTGTTATATTCATATTATTAAATTATTATCTTATTGATATTATTATATTAGTATTATTACATCATTAGCATATTATTCTTATATTATTATTATTATTATATTATTCTTATATTTTATTATTATATAATTATAATTTTATATTATTATATTTTATTATTATATTATTTTTATTTTATAAAGTTATTATTATATAATATAAAACTCTGTCTGTCAATTCTTCTGTTTTTCCTGTGATACTCCTGTATTTTATTATTATTATATTAATATTATTATTAAATTAATTATTATTTTATATTATATTTTATTATTATTGTATTATTATTAAATTAATTATTATTTTATATTATTATATTTTATTATTATATTATATTATTATTATTATTTTTATTCTATTTATATTATTATATTATTATTACATTTTATTATTATGATATTATTATTATTTTATATTATTATATTTTATTATTATATTATTATTATTTTATAAAGTTATTATTATGTTATATAAAACTGTCAATTCTTCTGTTTTTCCTGTGATACTCCTGTATTTTATTATTATAATATTATTTTATTATTATATTATTATTATATTATTATTATTATTGAATTAATTTTTATTTTATATTATTATATTTTATTATTATAATATTATTGTATTATTATTATTAAATCAATTATTATTTTATATTATTATATTTTTTATTATTTTATATTTTTATATTTTTATTATTGTTTTATAAAGTTATTATTATATTATATAAAACTCTGTCTGTCAATTCTTCTGTTTTTCCTGTAATTCTCCTGTATTTTATTATTCTATCCTGCTATCATCCCGTTCTCCTCTATTTAATCTTTCGATAAAGGGGCGCAGTAAACATCATCAAAGAGCTGATGCTCCCTACACACACAGTGTACCACCAGGGGGCGTCTCTTTCTCTTTTATGTGGAACTTCATGTTCATTTTTAGGCTTAAAACACTTTGGACTATAAACACGGCCGGATTCTCTTCCTTTGCACGGCAGGCACTGTTGCCCCCGGCCTGTTGCAGTCCTCAGATCAGTGAGTTCATGTAGCGGTGTGTGACTGTCAGACGCGCTCCATACTGATAAACAGACTCTGCTCCCCAAACTCACTCTTCTCCCTCATGCTCACATGCCGGCGCTGAGCAGTATGGAACTGTCTGAGCATCTGTCTGCGCTCCCGTCTCACGCCTCCAGAAGACACCGCGTTCAGGAGCTGATCATCATCATCATCATCTCTCTCACTCCTGAGATGAACACTCCGCTAATGTGACACTCCATAACTCTGTGTTGATCTTCTGACCTGCTGCTGAGCTCCTCCAGCTCGTCGCTCCTCTGCTCCTGGTGCTCCTCGTCCTCCAGCGCCGTCATCTGGATCTCCATCATCTCCATGGTCTCCATGCTGCTGGTTTACCGGAGCGTCTGCAGATCTGTGGGACTGTGTGTGCTCAGCGGATCTGTAAATAGCCTGAGCGTCCTCCAGAGAGAGAGAGAGAGAGAGAGAGAGAGAGGAGCTGTTCCTCTACACGCTGCTGTCTCTCGCCCACAGCTCATCAGCTTGACTCTGCTCGATGGGCTTCTTCATCCTGGAGTCGTGTTATGAAGCTGTGTGTGTTCTGTCGAAGCTGAAACTCTGATGTGTGCGCGTCTCTGAGGCGCTGTGGGTCACGACGGCTTGAGGAGAACACACTCTGAGCACATGTTCATCACACAGCACCAGTCCTCACTCTTAGAGCAGTCAGGAGCAACATGACCCGATCTCCGGCGTCACCCTGAGCTCCGGTTTCTGCTGAAATGCTGGCGCTGGGTGTTGCGTTGCAGCTGTAAATCAGTGCAGTGTGTGTGCATGTATGTGTGTGTGTGTGTGTGTGTGTGTGTGTGTGTGTGTGTGTGTGTGTTTCTGTGCATGATTTCCCTGCGTGACGTCCTCAGGAGAGGATTTTGTCATGTTTGAGAGTAGAGGAACACGTTTAGGGATGAGTTGAAGAAAATGACCCACAATCTGGGTATAAACCTGTGTGTGTGTGTGTGTGTGTGTGTGTGTGTCTCATTGAGAAGCCACTGTGTGTGTGTCAGACTTTACTGAACCACCTGCTGCTGTTTGTCATTGCTGTGTTTGTGTGTGTGTGTGTGTGTGTGTGTGTGTGTGTGTGTGTGTGTGTGTGTGTGTGTGTGTGTGTGTGAGACAAGATGAGGATGAAATCAGAAACGTTAAGATCCAGTGTGTGTGTGTGAGTGAATGTGCGTGAGAGAGTGCATATGTGTTTGTGTGTGTGTGTGTGTGTGTGTGCATGTGTGTGTGTATATATATGTCTGTGTATGTGTGTGTGTTTGTGTTTTCGTGTGAATTTGCGCATGTGTGTATAAATGTGTGTGTGTGTTTGTGTGTGTGCATGGCTGATTGTGTGTATGATTGTGTGAGGGTTTTGTGTGTATGTGTGTGTTTGTGAGAGAGTGCATGTGTGTGTTTGTGTCTGTGTGTGGGTGTGTATGAGTGTGTGTGTGTGTGTGTGTGTGTGTGTGTGTGTGTGTGCATGGCTGATTGTGTGAGGGTTTGTGTGTTTGTGTTTGTGTGATTGATTGAGTGCATATGTGTGAGTGAGTGAGTGTGCATGCTTGTTTGTGTGTGTGTGTGCACAGTTAGGATTATGGTTTGGTGTGTGTGTGTGTGCATGGCTGATTGTGTGAGGGTTTTTGTGTGTGTGTGTGTGTGTGTGTGTGTGTGTGTGTGTTCATATGTGTAAGTGTGTGCGCGCAGTTAGGGTTATGGTTAGGTGTGTGTTTGTGTGTGTGTACATGGCTGATTGTGTGAGGGTTTTTGTGTGTGTGTGTCGGTGTGTGTGTGTGTGCACAGTTAGGGTCATGGTTAGGTGTGTGTTTGTGTGTGTGTGTGTGTGTGTGTGTGTGTGTGAGAGTTTGTGGGTGTTTCCCAGTACTGGGTTGTGGCTGCAGGGCATCTGCTGTGGTTCATTCCATTGTGGCAACCTCTGATAATCAGACAGAGCTGAAGGAAAATGAATGAATGAATGAAATTAGTAAAATGCTAGCAAAATATTTTATTGTATATAGAAAATATTGTATATAGAAATACGTTAGCAACCTTAATTTGTGCTAACAAAATGCTAATGTGGTAAATGTATGCTAGATGCATGTTAAGTAATGCTAGCAGAGTGCTAAATCAAGTTTGAAATATGTTAGCAGCTATAAAACTATAAATCGTTAACTCTGAAGTAAATTAAATATCCCTGTAAATCATGTAAAGAGATACTAATAAACCTATTTAAAATATCTGTTTAATGAACATTCCAAAGTATAAACATCTTAAAAGATATATTATGAATATCTATTTACTGTCTGACAGGAGATGACCAGGTTGACAACACATTAGCTCAAGCTAACAACAGTGTGTTAGAAACCTGTTACTAGTAAGTCAACTTATGTTAACATGCTAATTCTTGCTAAAGACATGCTAGAAACGCATTTATTTGTGTTTTCAATACTGTATGTTAATATTAAAAACATTTAGTTTGAAAGAGTAGGAACATGTAAGTCCATGCTAACAATTCAAATTCATGTTAGAAACATTATTTTCATGGTAATGTTAACAGTGTTTAAATATGCTAGCAACATGATAGTTCATGGTAGAATTGTGTTGAAAACATTAGTGCTAGCAATGTTAGCCATGCTAGAAACAACTAGCATTATGTTAACATTTATTTTTCTTCTTAATCAAATTAAATGAAAGGTTTACTATCACAGTGGCTCATATATGTGCCGAATAAGTTGGCAGTTTATTCTGTTGTGGC